AAAAAAAAAGATTGGAAAATTGATTTTCAGTATAACTATAATTAATTGTGCAACTGTAATTAATCATCAAATTAAAAATTTTTATATCATTTCACATACAACTTTTTTTTACAAAAAAGCAAAAGAAAAATAACAAAATAAATTAGAGTTTTAAATTGATCAAATATAATATATTATAATTTAAATAATTTGATCAAATTAGGTTATATTAGGTCAGATCAGATCAGGTCAAATGAAAATTTAAATCAGGTTAGATTTTTGTTTGACCTGACCTGATCCTCTCAGTTCAAGTAACTTGATTGACCTGATCTGAACTGACTTGTTCAGAACTCTAGTAATTACATAATGTATTAATTTTAGTTAATTAATTATGTATTTTTTAAATAAAAAAAAATTTGAATTTACTTACTTGTAGCTAAAATTAGAGTCAATTAAATATTTATAATTACTACTATAATATAATTTTAGTAAAAAAATTATGATCTGCAATAGGTTTTTATATACTTTAAGATGAAATAGATTACAAATTTTTATATTAATTCTTTTTATTAATATTAATTATAAAATATTTAATATAAAATAATATTATTAATTACTTAAATTTAAGAGGTAATAAATTAAATATATCAAAATTATGAACTTGAACATTTAAAATATATATCATTCTATTTTTGCAAGACTTTTGAATTTAAAATATTATTATAATTGTAAAGTCTACTGACTGAAAAATAGACTTCAATATGTATAGTAAAGTTTTAGATATTTGAAGGATACCAATTTATGTTAATAATCCTAAAGTCTTATTCACATTAATAGAATTATTAATATAAATCACTATAAGGGTAATGATAGATATTACCTAATATCATGTTAATATAAGCACCTACCTCCTCTCCCTTAGATAAGATATACTGCGGAGTCACGTAATATAATTTTTTATATCTGACAAAATAAAGTCAATAAAGTGATCAAAAAAAGTTTATTACAGTTTATATGGTGAAATGATTATAGTTTATAGTTTATTATAGTCTATGTAGTGATAAATAAAAAAAAATCATAGTTTATAGAAGTTTATAGTCTAAATCTAGCAAATTTGAAAGAAGTTAATTTATTAAGAAAATTTATTTATTAAAAAAAAAACAAAAAATTTATGAAAATCCTTTCCAAAAATTAGCTGCAGATTTTATTTAACATTCACAAAATTTCAACGTGCTTATTTCACATTTGACTTGCAAAAATTCTCTTCTAAATATTAAAAATGAGCTGTCAAACATTTTTTTTAGCCTAAATTTAATAAAAAACCAATTTATAATTTACCAACTAATAAATATTAAGAGTTTATAAATGTCTATATATAGTATTATGGTAAAAATAAGTAATCATACTTCCAATTGTACTGATGTTTGTCAAGAAGCCATAAATGAGTGGAATGGTATTAAGAAGAAGAGTGTTGATGATATTGATGGTATAATTCAGAACTATATAGCTATATCACTTAACCTATATGATATACAATCAATGAAATATAAATGTTTCATACCTAGAGAAAAATTGAATGAATAATAATAATTGTCATAAACTTTCAAAAATCGTTAAAAAACAATCAATTTTCTTTTGATAAAATTCAGTAGAAATTTAATAATTTATAAAATAAAAAAATTTCAGCTGTTACTATTTGTAAAAACCTTTATCAAAATAGATTTATTTATAGATTTTTATGCTAAAACATTTTTTTTACTAAATTTTAACATAAAAAATAATTGTCATGATATATAAAATAATAAAATTAATTAGTTAGACAGTAGAAAATATTATTTAAAATTACAAGTTCAGATTTAATTTATTTAAAATAATAATTCTATTTATATTTCTAATACAATATTGAGAATTTAATATCTACAATTAAAAATAATGATAGAGGTACTATAATGTAAAAATGTTTTTTAGGAAAAAAATTAGAACTATTGATAAAGTAGATGATAAAATGAATAGATTTGATATTATTAATATTTTATTATCATTTATCTAATCTAAATATTGTAAATAGCCTTATGCATTTTAGGATAATAATGTTTTTATTTATATTATAAAAGTTATCAAAAATTATTACACAAAAAAAGATCAGATTAGACTTTTTAATCTTCAAATTTTAATCTTATTAAATATTTGTAATATGAATTAGAATAGAATTTTTGAAAATTATCTGTATATTTAAAAAATTTTATGAATTAGAAAAAGCATTACAAGAAGAATAAGAAAGAAATTTATTTGAAATTTATATTAATTTAATTAAAAGTATGTTATATTAAATTGAAGCATATAATAAAGCCAAAGATATTTATAATATTTATAATAAATACAATTTAATTGATCAACTAGATACTTTTAATATATTTAAATTTATTAATAAAAATATATTTATTATTATTATTTCTTAATATTTTTTTATTTTTAACTTTTACATATTTTTTAGAATTTTTTTATTTTTTGTTAATATTTTATTTAATTAAATAATATTATTCAAAAGAAATAATAAATTATTTATTTTAATAAAATTTTTTATTTTTATAAGTTGTATTTAAATTTATAAAATATTTATAAAGCTTTTACTATAAAATTATATAATATAAAAATTGATTTGTTTATATAAATAATAAATAATATATTTTACAAATTAAAACAATTTTTTTTTTATAAATTTATATATATATTATTTTGTTAATCTTTTTACTTGTAAAAATTTTTAAAATATCTTATTTTAAATAAAAATTTTATATAAATATAAAAAACAAGTAATTGCAAAAAGGGTATGATTAATATATAACATGTTTAATTAGAATAATAATAGACTAATTAAATCAATATTAACTATAGTTTTATAATTTATTTTATAATATAGATTATTTTTTAATCATTATAATTTCAAGAAATTTGATAGAAATATATATAAAATATCTGATAAAATTATGGAAATTTTATATAACTTTCTAATATTTAAATTTTTTATTTATTTAGATAATTATATAATTTTTTTAAACCTTTGCTTAAAAAAATATAAAGCTTAATCTTGCTAAATATATTCTTTTTTTTTTAAATTATATTTTGAAAATATACTTTTTCCAGTATGTTTCAATTTCATATTTTTCTTTTTTATTATTTTCTTTATCTTTAATTTTTGGGTTTATATTTTATATATTTTTTTATATTACAGAAGTTTTGAAATTAAAGTTAAAAATTTTGAGAATTTTTAAATTTAGATAACTTTATCTTTAATAGTATTAAAATTTAAATATATATATTATTAGAGCTCAGAAAATTGATTTATATAAATTTGCATTTAATTCATAATTGAAAATTTTTATTTAAGTAATAATCTTACTTAATTAAAAATACTTTAAAAATTAAGCTCTATGCATAATAACTTTAAGTATAACAGAATACTTCATTTTTGAAATACATATGATAAGAAAATATTTTTCCAAAGTAGTTCTTTATTATCACCAAATTGTGATCTTTTTTTTTGAAAAAAAAGGTCACATGAAAAAATACTTATTTTTGAATATGTTTACAGAATTTGAAAGAAAAAATCAAAGAAGAATTCAAAGTTATGGAAGTATCAATTTATTAGAAAACTTCTTAATAAATTCAATTTTAATATGAAAATTATGAAAATTAGATCAATAGTAAATTTTATAGGGAGTACATATAGTTGCTACCAAATAGAACGTGACTAATAGAAATGCAAAAGGGATGTGACATCGGTAACAGAAAAATATTACGTGAAAAGTTCGATCATAAATAATTTAATAACTTAGATTTTAAAAAAAAGAAAAATTTACATATTATTCGAAAAAAAAAATTTAATTATTCAGATTTGTACATGGCTAGCACATATAATCAAGTTTACTTTTTATATGTAAATCATAAAATTAAGATAAAGTATTATATTGTATATGAAAATTTACTATAAAGTCAACCGTTTATAATATCGCGTGGTTTTCAAAGGTATAATTTGTCACGGATAATAGAGTCTATTTAAACTTCGACCATAATATTAAAAAGTTTAATAATTATATATACTTTAAATAAAGAACCTTGATTATATGTAGATCAATTTCATTTTCAATTTCTTCCAATTAATAAATTGCTTATATATCATATCACTAGGTTCATTATATTTACAGAAGCAGTCATAAGTATCTGACCTCTTAAAGTTAATTAAATTTTCCAAAATTCAAGTACAATACCAATATTGATCACATGTAAAATTATAAGCTTGTATAACATATAAATCAAAAATAGATGATCGATGAATTTTGCATGTAAAGTACCGATATTTTTTAATAAATTAAACAAAATAGTTTTTTTTATATAAATTTCAATAATGACTGAAATGGAATTTCAAAAATATAGCTACTTTATATCTATTGTAATAAAATTATAATGTTATTATATTTAAAAATATCATTTACATGTATAAATAATTTTATAAAACATGTTCCCCCTTTCTAAATCCCCTTGGTATCTTTTCAGTTTGGTAGGTTCCTTACAGTAGTGATATCTGGTAGAGAAAAATTAATGAGTTTAAAAGCTCATTTTGATTCATTTTGTAAAAAAATGTATAGAAAATTTGAAATCCAAGGATAATCCCCTCTTTTTTGTTATATATAAAAATATATTTTATGAATCATTCTATATATCCAAAAATTTTGTTCGTTGTATCTTTGGCATACCCTTGATTTTAAAATCTTTTTCCAAAAATTTTGCAATCAATTCGAAGGCCTTCATATTATGGTTCAGGGTAACCGACATGATTGTTTTATTTTTATCTAACCAATAAATTATCCAAACATTCATATCGGTTGAGACCCCAAAAACTTTTATGTCTTTATTTGTAAGGGTATCGGCCAGTGATGTGCATTTTTGCTTCCAATAGTATAAAATTTTGTTGGAAGCTTCCAATCCAATGTATTTATTAGAGAATTATGCTTCCAACCCTTCCGAAAGTGCTTCCAAGGGTGCTTCCAATCTTCCAAGTGCACATCACTGGTATCGGCTACTATCATTTGGAGGATAGCCTGCCGGTAATCTCCATCTTTCAATTTTTTTTTTAATTCAATTGTTGCATGAATTCCCAACTCTAACATTTTGCTCTTGATATAACTACTTTCTACTAAGACGAGATCTGTTCCACCATTGATACTAAATACGATTTACAAATATCAAGTAAATTTTTGTTGTTGGAAACGTCTTCAATGACGTTCTAGTGGATAGGTCCAGGTTATCTTCAAAATATTTAAGAACTTTTTCAATATGACCAGTCCACTTATAAGGAGCTATATCCTCGCAGGTGGGAACTCTTAGTTCGGGGATACGAGGTTAAACGACAGGGAGATATTGGAAACGTGTCGCTGTATAGGGTAGGTAATTGACGGGTTGTAGCATATCCAGGATGCCTTCTTCGGGTCTAATATTCTTCCGGATGCTGTTGGGCAAGAGGAGTATCCGGATACTGCTGTTCAAGAGGAGTATCCGGATACTGTTGTGCAAGAGGAGTATCCGGATAATTCTACATTTTTAAGTGAAAAAACAATGAGATTAAAAAGATAATGTTAGGAAAATAATAAAAAGCAGTGTATATTTGACAAACATTAAAATAAACCAGGTCATGTTGACTCATTATTCACTTACCGGTTGGGATTTCAACAACAATATCCCCCTTTCCTCGTTATTTTCAAGAATGATCATCTGTGTTGCTTCTTCATCATATGGAAACATTTTACTTTCCATAGTATGAGGTATTTTGCTCTCACACTATCGCAGTGTTGGCATTTGGCCGCGGCCTAGAATTTTTTGGCCGGCCAAATTGGTCAAATGGCCAACACTGCACTTTCAGGAATATAGACCTTTTCCTCAAAAGATTTCTCTAATATATGCAACGGTATATCGGATAAAACGGCTTTAAGAGGATTTCCGTGAACAAGGCAAAAAAGTGTTTTGATCACACGCCGCTTTTTGACTGAAACACGAACTGAATATGACAAAGATTTAACAACAGCACTAACGCTGAAAAAAAACAACTTGTTTTTTATCAATTATTATAAATTCTTACGTTCTTTCAAGGCCTTTCTTTTTTTTCCTAGGCTTTAAGTTTTCCATAAGTCCAGTTATTTTTGACTGGTCTTGGACTATAAGCTGTTCTTGTTTATTGCACTGTGTTTTTCAGCAATATTTCCAGCTCACCACCCAAAAGCGTAGTGCGACTTTTCGTTGACGTACTTCTTGTTTCTTTGAAGAAATAAATAACTCATGTATCCCGTATGAGTCTTTTCCAGTAAGTAACATATTGAACTTCATTCAAAACTTTTTCAGGCAGCATAGTATTAAAGAGATCCAAACGGATAAATGTACGATAATTGCATAACGAAGAGTTCTTTTCTAAATGAAGCAAGAGATATTTTTACTAACATAAAATAGATACGCGTCCTATTTATACAGTAGTTGACTCGGTGATCTCACACGAGGAATTCACATGATTGGCCAATTATGTTACACGAATTTGTCAATTTTTTAATGCAAAAGTTCTTATATTTTAACATGATTTTAATTTTATATAAATTTTTATTATTAATTTTATTTTTTTGTTAAAGTTACAATCTTTATTAAATATAAATTGCATTTTCAAAATTAATTTTAATAAGATATTTATTAATAAATTATCAATATAAAATTTAATATTATTTTAAAATACGTTTAAGAATAATTTTAATAATCTTATTATTAAATTTGATTATATTATAACTTTATTTTTAATTTTACAATGATCCTTTTAATTTATTAGATTAAATTAATAAATATTTAATATAATAAATTTTTAAAAATCTTATAGTATTTTTATCTTAATCAAAATTCTATTTTTAAATATAAATTAAGATTTTTACATTCAAAATAAGTTTAAAATAGTTGAATAATTTAATATAATAATAGTATTAATAATTGCTAAACTTCTTTTATATATAAAATTAATTATAAATTTTATAAATATTATAAAATTTTATTTATAATTCTTAAATAATAATATCATAATATTACAAATTTATATATGTAATTAAATAATATAAAAATAATTAAGATTATTATTTTTAATAGAATTTTATTAATTTAAGAAAATAAATTAAATTTAAAAGATTTGTTAAAATTTTAAATCAATATAGTAAATAATAGGACTGATTTAAAATTCTAGATATTTGTAGAATAATGAGAATTTCTTAAAATATAAATTTTGATAAGTAAAAAAATTAACTATATTTTAATTTTGATATTTAAGACATAGATAGAAATTAAGTAAATAATATAAAAAAAATATTTTTTTTTATTAATTTATTAAAATATTTGAATACTATTAATAAAGATTAAAGATACTTATACTGAATTATTTTAAATAGTTTTAAATTTTGATATATTTGTGATTAAACTATTTATTTATAATATAATATATTTATTTAAATTTTAAAACTTAATAAAGTTTTAGATTAGAGAAAAAGTTATTTATAAAGTTTTTAATAAGTTTTTTTAAATAATTTTTATTATTTATTTATTGAAAAATGTATAAATTAATCTTTTGTTTTATTTTATATAAATAATAAAATAATAAAAATAATTTTTATAAGGAAGAAAAAAATAATATCAACCCTTTTTTTTTTATAATATTTAAATTTAATTTAAATTATTTATTAAAATTTTAATTTTGCAAAAAATTTAATATGATTTATCAAATTTATTATCAAATTATTTTATTCTATTTATTTGATTTAATTTGCAAAAAAGTTTTAATTCAATGTTATTATTAAATTATTCATTTAAGTTTTTATTTATAGATAATTTAATTCAAAGCTAACTTCATTTGTAACTTTAAGAATCAGATTATTTGTTTATAATAAAATTGATTTGATTTTTTTTTTTTTTAAAAAAAAAAATATTTAATTAAGAAATTTCAATTAAGATACAAGACGTTTGCTAACTCAGAATAGATACATTTATTATTGATATAAAGCGATCAATTTTTAAATTATTTTTATTGTTTTTTATCTTTATTGACTTCAATTGAAATTTCTCCAAAAAATACATATATATTATTTATAAAATAACAATAACTAAGCAAATTCTAAAGAATTTCATTTTAACCTTTTACGAAATATCCATAGCTTCAACACCCTCTGTAATGACGAGGATATCTTTAATAGATTCCTTAAGGATAGCTAATAAGTTATTAAGATGATATGTTAGTAAAAAATAAAATAAAAAATTACACAAATATTACATGACAAGCTTTATAATTACGTGTGGTTCCGCGTTTGAATTTATAAACTTTCTCTTTTGGAGCGCGTTCATTAGGTTTATAATAATTTCTGTATATGTCCACTTTGTCCTTTTCAATTACATTAATGTCAACATTTGATCCAGAACCAAGATCATTGAAAATACCAGCATCGATAGCATCTTTGACGAGATCTATAGCTTCCTGACGCTATTAAAATAAAATAAAATAAAATAAAGGTAAACATTTTTACAACACCTAAAATATTTGGAACATGTAAATTAACTTGGTCACCTCAAGATCTTTTCTCCAACTTCTTTCGAAAACGGCCATAGCAGCCAAACTACCACTTCCCATAGTCATAAAAGGTACATTATCCACACTTCCATGAGGCATTACGGAGTATAAGTTGGGACCGTTTACATCATAACCGCCAATGATTAAAGCGGCGGAAACATGCCCTTGATACTTAAATAGCATTTGACATAACATACTCCTAGCGGTAGAAAGACGAGTTTGTCTTCCGGTAGTTAATCGATGTAATTCTAATTGAGAACTAATTAGGGCAGTCGTAAATTCGGTATCCGCAGCAGTACCGGCACCGCAACAATATATATTTGGAGCGAGGTAATGAATTTTAGCGCAATTTTTGTCTGCTACAATAGGACCTGAAGTTGCGCGTGTATCGGCACCAAGGCAAACACCATCCTAACATTGATATAGTTAAACAATCGAGACAAGAAATTTTTTAGATCGAATTTACAGTACTTTCTTTTTTTTTTCATTTTTTTTTTTTTAAAAATATATATATATATATGCACATATATATTTAATTTAATTCATCATTCACCTTATAAATGATAGCGGCAATGGTTGTACCAGTTTTAATTGGTTTGGGAATGCGAATGCCTTTTTGCTCAAGCGAGACATTTCTAAAACGCGCAAAATTAATAAAAAAGAAAGTATTTAACCCTTGATCCTGTTATCGACTTAAGGCAAGCAATTTTGTTTACAAACCTTTGAAAATTATCAAAATTGAAACCACCTCTTGGTTGTTCTAGTCTGGTCACCATGTTTGTTATAAAAGAAACGAAAAAATAAAAAAAAAACCGTTACCGTTAGATAAAACCCGAAATCTTTAAAAGAACGAAAGGGGGGCTTACGTACTAGGTACAGTCGGTTGCTTGTGATACCATCCATCGTATCATCACGTGACAATACGGCAATTGTAAACTCCCGCACACGTTAAGCTAATGCCGGCCAAATAGGTTGATGGATTACGTAAAGGCACGTTAAATCACATGATCTGCAATGTGCCTTTTCTGGCAAGGTTTAATAACCTCATGTGAAGAGGGAATCAAAAAAACCGGTTCTTAGTTTCTCTGTCAAAAATTCCAACCGGAAATCAATCGGGTATTAATGAAATCTTTGTTTGCCAAATTAGAGAAAGTCATTAATTGTAAATGATTGTGGTTATTTATTAAATTATTCACACCCAGGCCAGGTATCGGGGATATTATTCGAAATCTTTTTATGAATTGATAAACATTCTGCGTGAGGTGGGAAAAAAAGAATTCTTTTTTAGAAAAAGGAGTAAGTGGCTCACAAGAAAAAAAGAACGCCACCATGGAACATCGGAGGAACTGCGGATCATCAATTGATGTCAACATATGAATATAGTATGATACTGTTTAGATGCTTATCAAAAGAAAATATTAAGGTTTTTTATAAGTGAATCTCATTGAAAATAACCCTAAAGTAAAATATCACTACCAAACAATCGGTAGGGATGATGATACCCTTTATTCGTCCAATTTTAGAAAGAATAAGAAAAGAAGCCGTTCATTTAATGGTTTTTGAAAATTTTTTTTTACCACAATAAAATTACTGCCGTGAAACCTCTTCCTTTACGGGCGAATTAAACTGCGGATTATTGTCGCATTTACTTTGAATTGGATTGACGGTGATTGTCGACGAACTACTGACGGACGCATTATACAGGTCAAAAAAAAAAAGAGTCCAATTCTGGTCAACAAAAACATTAATGTAAATAAATAAATAAAACAGACCCGGTAAACCGAGGCGATTGGCTAGGAAAAAGGAATTTCTAAAACATTTTGTTTGAATAGCCCAAAATGGTGTCATCAGCTAGCGTACGTAATGTTGCATATATAAATAAAAGTGTGAACACTATTTTTGATATAAGTTTAAATACAATTTATAAGGTCAATTGCATCCTTACATTGCATGTCACCATCTTCGAAACGTGTCTTGCGTTAAATGCATTTCTATTTTTTTATTTATATCTCATATTTACAATGAAGTTTATCACAATATGTGACAAATGATAACATACCCAGCTTATTATGTAAGCTGTTTTAATATGTTACTTTGGCAAAAACAAAATTGCTTTTTTTTTTTTTCGTTGTCGTCATATTGCTTTTTGATTCCTTTATTCGTTTAACAAAAAAAAAAAAAAAAAAAAAAAGCACAATTACTATTTCTAATTTTTTTTTTTTTTTTAAAAAAAAAATTTTAAATTGCATATATTTTTCCTTCCTTTAATTTTGTCGCGTGGCATATCACAAACTAAAAAAATGTAAATAGAAAATCATGTAACAAAAGTTTCAAAAAAAAAAAAAAAACAAAAAAAAATGGATGAGCATCGATTTTTCCAGGAAATCATAGGAAATCCCGTCTTAACCCTGAAAAAGTAAATATATATGCAATAAAAAAAATGTGAGAATTATTATTGTTCGAGTTTATATAGCAACATGCTTACGAATTGTTACACGTATTCAATGTGATGCTTGGTGTGTACCAATTAAAAATTATTAATTAAATTTTAAATTGTTCCGCGTTCATTCTCCTTTTTCTTTTTTCTCTTTTACCTTTATAGTGCCAATGTGGGGCTTTCGCGAATATATTATATTGTTCACGTGTTTGTAACAAAAAAAAAATGTTACTTTTTGGCATTAAATTTGTGGAAATCATTTAAAAAAATTTTAAAATACCTTTAGAACAAATTTAGTTACAATTATTCTAAATATGACTAACAATAAAAACTTTTTGTGAATTTGATCACAAAAGAGTTGGAACATTCTTACATGATTTTAGATAAATAATCGTGATATAATAGAAGAAATCACATTAAAAGCCCTTTTTACATAATACCCAATGAAAGTAAAAGTGGTTAGCACCTCATCACATGAGAGTCTTTTGTCGGAAAAAAAAATTTCATTTTTTTATTTGATTGTTCTCATTATAATCTTGATGATATTTAAACGAATTCTTGGGTTAAGTAAAAGTGACAAATTCAACAATGGTAAACTATCTTTTTTTTTTAAAAAAAAAAAAAAACGCACAAATCTGTGTTAAAACCATGTTCATTTGGATTTTCAAATTATGGTTATCACGTTAAGCATTTTTTGTTTTTAACAACTACATCATCAGTTTTCGTTAAGGAACTTAAAATGACCACAAATCAATCATGAGAAAACTTTCCTTAAATATATGCTAGCATATTCTTATACTTGCTGATAAATAATGCGTCGTAATCTACAATACATGCGTGGTACACGCAATCCTAAATAATGTTTATCCGGAATAATGGTAGTCCACGAAAATAAAGGTTTTTTTTTTTTTGTTGCCGAATGTGCACAAGGTTGGTAGGGAAAAAAAAAACTAGATGGTATCAATCGTAACAAGTTTCAATTACCAACTTACTTACACATGGAGAATTAATTATTTTCTTTTGTTTCCCAGAAAAATTGTGGGGGTGGCTTGAGATCCGCAGTAGATAAGAAAACGTTGTGTATAATTATGACTCAACACATCTTTTCTTTTATATATGGTTTTAATCATCCTTGAAAACCGATTGAGAATGGTATCACCTTCATGTTGCATCGAGTGGGAACGCTGCGGAACTGCGTCCTGCTTATTGAAAATCCGATAACGTAAATATATAAATAAATTATTAAATTAAAATTTTAAAATAAATTAAATTAAAAAGAAAAGGAAATAAAAATAAAAAAAAAAAAAACCTAAAATCATTAAAAATGATAAGATAACAATAATAAACAATTAGATCGAATGGAAATTTAAGGTAAATTTTCGCAGGAGACGAACTCCGGTTTGAAAATTTATTTCAAGCATACAGAAGCACAAACAATCCGTCGATCGTTTCCTTAATATTAGATATTAGCCACAGCATGATCAACTCATAAATCATATCCTTATCCCTATCGGGAAGTTCATTCATGCTTTCAAAACACTTTCCCTCTCTGATATCACAATTCCCTTTATCAGATCAGTTTTTTTTGATATTGTGGTTTTTTTTATGTGGTCAATTGACCATTCCGACTTCTCACGTATAGATAAGTTTCTTAATTTTAATTGGTGCGAGTCTAATCCATTTTTCACTCACTTATAATTACCGTTATAGGACATCAACCATACCCTTTCCTTCTAGTGGGACAAGCAGGTTGACCAAAAATGTAACAATTCTTGAGGCGGCGTTTCTTTATTTTTTCCCATTGCCCTTTGCTAAAAGTTCGCCTGATTATGCATCGTGCGTCAGAATCTGTCCTCAAAAGAAGCGTCAAAATGTGATGACTTGACATAATCGTATCCATTTTCGATTGGTGCTCAATAAATTCCGTTAACGTCTCACTGTGGGACTTTAATTTGACTCCCTAAATGTTTCAACCGGACTTTGAATACCGATATGCATATGAAAAACGAAAATTTGGAAAAGATTTACCATAATCTTCCTAAATTAGTTTCTCATTACGTGTTGGGCGCCAAGTCCAATTTATTTTTTTTATAATAATATAATTACTGAAGTGATTGAAAGTGAGAAAGAGATAGGTAAAGCAAAGAAAGAGAGAGTGAGAGAAAGAGAAAATGGAGAGAGAGGAGAAGAGAGAGAAAAAGAATGTTCGCTACGTCAGGATCAAAGGTTCGAGCAGAGACTTCTCTTTTGATCGATCAATAATAATTAACCACCCAAAAGGCATCGACATTGTGTCACTTTTGATTTTCGCCAATTAATTTTAAAAAAACTTCTTTATACGATAAGCGTCGTTTTACTCGACCTTTTTAAGAAGTGGGTTATTTTGAGTCATTGTTTACAACTAAAACTTTTATTTAAATCCTCATTATGGTTGCCCAAAAGTTCATTTCCTTTGTGTTACTATTTTAAAAAAATTTTAATCACAAATATATTTGATTGAATATCGTGTGGTACAAATAAACCTCATTATAAAAATCAACGATTGTATTGTAAATAAAATAAATGCAATTTATTTTATTTTTTATTTTATTTTGTTGTAGTTTTATATCATTTATGATCTTTACTTTAAAAAATATTTTTTGTAGTATATTATCTGTGTTGTGATCCATTAACACAAAAAAAAACTAATCTTCTTCATCAAAAAAAAAAAAAAAAAAAAAAAAAAAATTTATATTCGTTATCTAATTACCCATTTTAAATAAATAGGGGAGCTCAAACTCGATTTCCATTTTTTTTTTTTTTTTTTTTTTTAGAAAACGACTAAAGTTTTTTCTTGCGCCTTACTGGTCCTGAATTCTTGACGACTCGTAAAAAATTTTAAACTCTTTACAAAGAGTTTAAAAGAAAAACAATATACAATTTTTAAACGTAAAGTTTCCAAGTTTCTTTTTCAAGCAAATAGTTCTTTTTAGTTCCGTTTAGACATAATTTTTCGATTGTTCTTCACCCTTTGTAACGAACATTAAAAAATTAAAAATTATTTGATAACAAACTGTAAATACTTTCTAAACTTGCAAAGTTTTCTCATTCACCTTACAAAAAAGGAAAAGGACAACTCAGTGATTCAAAGAAAAGAAAAAAAAAGGAAAACTAAAAAGGGAAAAACTCACATTCTTTTCTCTTCCTTCTCTAATATAGTCTTTTTCTTCGTTATTCGTGAACTTGGATCTCACCTTGGTTCCGAACAACAACCTTGCTCCAAACAATCTAAATAATTTTATGTATACAGACAACGTTTCGTCTACTGAACTAATGCATTACACTTCCACTCCCGAAAATACGAGCAACGCTGAATATATAAATAACTTTGATTTTAATATTTATTCACAAACTTCAACTTTAACTACTGATTATATTGAAAATGAACTTTACAACCCTTTACAACAAATTGGCCAGCAAGCCATTCAACTTGTAAATCAACAACAACTTGACGTCACTAATTTTAACTTCTTTCCAAACAACAATCACCCTCCTCTTGATAATCACATCGACTTATCACCTGCCGAAGAAAAATTTCATTACACAACACCGAACCAATCAGACTTCGCTGCGGCTTCGCCACACGGATATTCCGAAAATAACGCTTCAACACCTTTATTGGAATCATATACAAATAACGGAACATATTCCGCTCACACCACTCCAATTCTGTCCGGTGAACCTTTATATCAAGACAGCAACAGCAGCAGCAACTTCCTTTTGTTTTCTCCCGTGGTCAATAATTATCAGAACCTTTCAATAAATACTTCACCCTCCGCTTTTAGCGACTTGCACATATCTGACGATATCGGTTCAACTCCGACCGTTCCCGGTTTTGGAACACCGTACACTGCTGACTTTTCTACTGTGCCCTCTCGCACTCCTTTAATCACTCCCCAAAATACGCCCTATATCAATACACCTTACGTCACTAATAGCCCATTCTCAGTCGCCTCAACTATAAATACTCCTTTTGCTTTGCCGCAAACTCCTCTTACCTTCGACACCCCTCTTGTTGAGCCAAGTGGTGCGGACCCTAATTTATACGACGAGATCGGAAAAACTGGAAGTTGGTTCAATTTATTTGCTGCGCCTTCCGCAAACGTTTTGAATTATAGTAATCTTAAAGGTTCCCCTTCCGTTTACGAAGACAACACTATTTACGAGAAATCCATCGACCCTTTATTTGACGGCTGTTACGACAATAATCAAATAGTGAACATGGCTACCATTTCTCCAGAGTACGTTGGTACCGTTCCTTCTGATAATGGTGAAAAGAAGGTTGACACTCTTGAAATGGCTCCTGGTAGCCCAAAGGGTCGTCAACTTGATACTTCAACCCTTGCTCTGACAGACAAATCTACTTCACCTAACACAGCTCTTATTGCCGCTGCAGCTGTTGAACATACTACAACTTCCCCACCAAAATCAGTGACAGAGTCCACCGACTTGTTAAAACTTGAAAACGATCAAGGAAATGTTAAAACGGAGCAAGCGCTTATTATTTCTCACCCAACCCAAACCCCTGATTCCGCTCCCACCACACCGGTGGACGCCCCTAGATTACTAGCGATTAGACCTCATCCTCAAGACGATGATGATTCCATTGATAATGAATCTACGAGAAGAAGCAAGCGTCAGCGAACTATGAGCGTTTCTGAAGAAAATGAAGAGGAGAATGATGATGAATCAGAGAAGAAGTACAATTGTCCTGATTGCGGTAGAGGTTTCAATCGTAAATTTAACATGCAGACACATCGGTCAACTCATGATCCCAATCGTATTAAGCCTTTTGCTTGTGATCATCCAAATTGTGGCTCAAGATTTACTCGCAAGCATGATTTGAAGCGACACATTAATGGTATTCATAAGGGTGAAAAGGTTCATGAGTGTACAGTGTGCAGAAAACCGTTCTCTCGTAAAGACGCGTGGAAGAGGCACATCACTACTTGTGGCAAGATGTAAGATTGTAAATTATCTGTATAGAATCTTTTTTTTTTAAAAAAAAAAAAAAAAAAAACAAACAAAACACCAACCCCTTTTGTGGATAAAAACAATCTTGCAACGCAACTTTATTTTTTATTCGAGAATATTTCTAAAAAAATTCATGGACTTTTATTGTTCTCTTTATATTTATTTATATATATATATTTTTTTATTAAGTCATCAAAAATATATAGCCATAGTGAACCATTTATTTTTTTTTATTTAGTTTTAGTTTTTTTTTTTTTTTCTTCTCTTGAAAAAAATAGCATATATTATATATTTTTTTGCATAGTTTCCTTGTATATCTTTGCATATTTATCAAAATTTTCACTAATGGCAAAGCATTGACAAATTTTTTTGTCAAAAGGAAAAAAAAATTCTCGTCTCGAAAATATTTATCTGCATTCCGGGTCGTGTTAATGTTCGCATAATTTAATAATAAAAAAAGATAATGCGTAAACATCAATAGGGCCGTTTACGGATTGTAATAAGGTTTAGAGAATTAAAGGCTTTTGCATTTAAATGTTTTGCCTTTCGCCTATTCCCTTCCGTTACGGTTGTGAGACGGCAGTATTAAATCTGTTAAAAAAAAAGAACAATAGCAAAAAATTTCACCTTGCAGTTCTTTCCGATCAATTCTATTATAGTTCCCCTCGCTAAAAAAAAAAAAAAAAAAAGAACATTATTTTTTGTTTCCATTGTTCTCTTTCTTGTCCCTTTATTTTTTTTATATACATATATATAGTTTTAGCATTAATATTTAGTTTTTTTCTTTTTTTTTTTTTTCTTAGTTGCTTTAGTTTTTTATCTGAACATTTTTTTCTTTTTTTATGTATTTTATATATTTTAGTATATATTATCTTATACCCGCGATCTTTCTTGCGGAATGAAGAATTTTCTGTTTAGGAAATAGATCTTGCTGGGAAAGTTTGATCAGTTCTTTTCTTTACCCATTACTTGGTAATTTTCCTTCAATGAGATCGATTATATACGCAAAATTCATGAAATATATTCTTTAATAGCGGTATTCAACCTTCAATGGGTTATAGAAAAGCATTGGATAGGTAGTTACATTGGTATCTATGGTGGAAAGTGTGTCATAAGATGATGTTGGTCGCGTTTCTTTGTTGGATCGAAATGAACAAATAATGTAATATAGGCAATTTCGGACGTTCGATCAAGTATATAATATATATTTATAAAAATGTAGATACAACAAAATTTAAATAATAAAACATCATCAAACGTACCCTTTATATATTTTTTCATTCCCTTTTTTAAATTAGGTTATATATTTTTTTCTTATACACATATTCATTCATATATATATTTTTTTCTTTGTAACTTTTTTTTCATGTAGAATAATAATAATAATACATGGTTTTTTTCTTTAACAATTTATTCAAAAAAAAAATATATATATATATTTAGATGATTTTTAGAGAATAAATAATAAAGGAAAATTTATTTTCTTTTGACCTAAAAAAAAGAGTTAACGAACTTATTCTTATTGACGCGTTCTTTGATCTGCTGCGTAAAACTGCGTATAGATTATCTGTAAAATTTTCTTCGCTGCGTCTTTATCTTGAAATTTTATACCAAATACCTGGATTGAAATTCATAACCAGGAAACTGGTCAAGAGAATTTTCAATTGTTTTTTTTTTAAAAAAAAAAAAAATAACAGTTCTGGTGGCTTAAAAAACTGCGACGGTTAGTGGCTTAGCAGATCAAGGTTTTTTTTTTTTTTGAATCTAAAAAATTATAAAAGGAGGCAAACTCCTCTCCAAAACCCACCAAAACGTTTTGCCCTCTCTACATGATCCCGCAGTTGAGATTTGCGCAGTATAAGATCTAACAGGATGGAAGAACAACAAGGTTTAGACCGCGAGGAGGTTATCTCTTTAATTGCTAGGTGAGTTGAAAAGACAACCTTTTTAATCTCGAGTAGTTGAAAAGCGGTTTGGTTGAATTTTGTTGGGGAGAAGGAAATTTTACAATCGTGATATAATAGATGGGTTGCGTTAGCCGAGTTATGTAGTTACTGTCTGGAAAAGCTAACGTGTTCGGTAAGAGAGGTGTGATTAGTTAATAGATTTTCAATAAAATCATCATATTTTTTTTTTTTAAAAAAAAAAAAATAAAGGGCTTTTTCATATTTTTTTTTAGAAGTGGAAATTTATGACCTAGATGGGTTTTAAAGTTGATTTTAATTTTAAATCTTGTTGATTTTGTTGTATTAAAAAAAATTATCGAATTTCTTTTTTTAAAAAAAAATATGTATTCCAAATTCAAAAAAAAAAAAAAAAAATTATTTAATAAAGTTTTTTTTTAAAAAAAATTAAAAATTATCTTTAAAATATTTAATGATCCATTTCTTTTTATCCATCTGGGGTTTTTTTTTCTTTTTTTTTTTAATACTACCTTATCATTAAAATTAGTCAATTGCGTTATTATGGGTATACAGAAACAGCCCAATCTTTAGCAGAGGAATCAAATATCCCTATGGATTTAGGTACTAGTGCAGAATTGTCCGAATTACTTTACTCGGCAACGTACTCGTCAAAAGATGAAGGTTTATATGCTTATTATTACAAGAGTTTCGTTAATATCATTTGAACTTTATTTTAAATACATATCTATTTAAATATTTTATTTCTGAATAAGAGGATGATGGGGATGAGGATGAGGAATATGAAATTTCTGCATTGGTTGAAGGTTCACCTTATTCTGATGAAGACGCTCAGAGTGAAGATTTTCCATCAAAATGTCTGGCCGATTTAGATCCAGAAACGAATTATGGTAATATATACATATACATATATATATATTTTTAAAAAAAAATATTACTTTCTTGAATGTTTTATAATGAAAATTTTTAATAGAGCCAAAGCCGACTCCAAATTATAATCTTTGGTACATAACAACTCATCGAGCTGCTGCCACATGTGTAAGGTTTAAGAAAGATGGTAATTGTCATTGAGCGTATCTCACTTTCTTTGAAAAAAAAAACAAAAAGATAGAAATTTTTAAAGCTTAATACTTGATTGATTATTAGGAAAGTTTGCTGCTACTGGTTCTGCAGATTCATCGCTTAAAGTTCTCGATACTAGCAAGATGAAAAGTCACTCAGATGAAGATAGACCCGTTATAAGAACTTTATATGATCATACTGGTGTAAGCTGGATAATATTTAATATTTCTAAATAAAGATAGATAGATATATGAAGACAAAGTTTATGTCATGTCTGTTCTTTCTCTTCTTTTTATAAAAGCGTGTGAATGATTTATCATTTCATCCAAATGGACTTACACTCGCTTCTTGTTCGGACGATCGTAATATAAAATTATTCGATATCGCAACACAAGGAATTAAACGATCATTTCGATTTTTACGGGTCTGATTCATATATATTTCTTTCCTTTTAAATAATTATTATATTCGATGCTAAAAATCATTCTTTTATTACAGGACAAATATCCGGTCAGATCCATTGATTTTCATCCTACCGGAGAATACATGCTAGCAGGTTTTAACTTTAATTTATTTCTATTATTATTATTATTATTATTATTTTATCAAGTAAAATATTTTGTTCTTAGGGACTGACCATGAGGCTATTAGATTTTGGGATGTTCAAAATATTAAATGTTATATTCCATCTAGTTCACAATCTAATCACAGATTAAGCATAACTAAGGTAAAGTTATTTATTTATATTCGGTATACATAAACATTAGTAAATTACATTATAATCTCCCTTTTTTTATGATTGATCTAGGTTCGATGGAATTCAAATGGTGGACAATTTGTTTCTTCCTCGCTTGATGGTACCATAAAGATTTGGGAAGGGGAACATGGAGAGTGTATTCAAACAATAGATAATGCGCATAACGGACAAGCAGTTTCAAGCGTAGAATTTTCTAAATCTGGGGCATATATACTTTCTAGTGGTTGCGATTCTACGTCTAAATTATGGGATGCCAATAACGGCAAATGCATTGTAACATTTGAAGGAGCTATACACCGAGTAATTATTTCAAAAACTTTTTGTGCCTGGGAATAAGATGAATTATCAATTTAACCAAAAAAAATGAAAATAATTTTTTTTTCTCTCTCGTTATTTAGAATAATCACGTACAAACTACATTTTTATTCGAAGAAGATTATATTATCAGTAGCGACGAAAATGATAATTCTATAGTGTGTTGGGATTCGCGCACTGGAAAATTGCTTATACGTTGGCCTGGTATTATTATGGATTTTTACTATTTGGTTTTATTTAAAATATTATCATTATTATTAAATTTTTTTTTTTTTGTTTCTTTTCTTTAAATAAAAATAAAGGACATACGGGAATCGTTCGATACGTTGCTGCTTCTCCTACTGAATCCGGATTCATGAGCTGCGCGTAATTAGAAGGGTTTATTTCATTCATTGATTTTCAGTATTCTTCCTTTATTAACAAATTTTTTTAAAAATTGTTAGGGATGATTTCCGTGTTAGGTGAGTCTTTACTCGTTACTAATATCAAAAAAAAAAAAATTAATTTTATTTATAATTATTAGATATTGGAATTTGGATCCAACTACACAATCTTAATTCTTATAAACATCGTGTATTAGTAATTTTAAATTAGTAATAAATAAAATCAAAAGTTCCTCACTCAAATTAAAAGCATAATCAATAATAAATCATTAGAGACGAATATTTAAAATAAAGATTTATTTATTATTTTTCATACCGATCCTTCAATTTAAATAAATGAATAAATATATAAATAATTCACATAAATTAATTGCTTAAATATAATTCATATAATAATTTCTCATAATTAAAGTTCTTATTTAAACACGATAAAAAAAAAATACACAATTCATTTTAATTATTATTATTGTTTTTATACGAATTATTATGACTGTTGTTATTTTGATGAATATCTCCTAAATTGTTCGTATTAAGGTTTGATCGCTGAGCGTCCCACCCAGGAATGTGTTGAAGGTTCATTTGTTGATTATAAAATGGTAAAGCTTGAATTATAGCGCGATTGGTCGCTACCAAATCATTTAACATCTATTTAAATAAAAAAAAAAAATTATTTGAAATCAATCAAAGGTATAGCAATAATGTAACATAGAAATATATATTAGATATTTACTGACCTTAACATTCTGTTCTTGTGGATGATTAACAACCTTTCTACGTTCTTCAATAACGGCATCTTGTAATCTCAAGTTCTTACCTAGATTACTTTCTTCAATACGATTTTCACGATTATGGTGATGTTTGTCGCCGCCTTTAATTTCGATTTCATCATCATCATAATCATCATCATCAATATTTATAAAGGGTGAAGGGTCAGATGCATCGGATGAAAGTGAATCAAGGTCCATATCTTGTACCTCATCATATTGAGAGGTTTTTGAGTCGCTTGATTGTAATAGTTGAAGTAAAGTATTGTTTTTGAATAAATATGAATTATCATGTGTAGCAGCTGATGTGGAAGATTCTGAACATGATGATGACCCGTGATCGGATGATCCACCACCACTATCCGAAGAAGTTTTTTGTAAATTTGATGTTCTAAATCCCGGTGTCGGTGAAACCCTTGGTCGTGGACTCGAAGAAGGAGGTAATTGAAATAATCTTGTTGAGAGTACTTGATGTGATTTTGATTTTCCGTTATTCCCTTCGATATCTGTACTACTACCGCTGCTTGACGCGTTCATTGAAGTATCATCATCAATTGAAGATTCTTTGGAGTGAGAGATCTTTTTAGATGAAGTTGTAATTGATTTATGACGACGATGCCCATGACGTGTTCCTCTCGTAGGATGTGAAGTTTGTACTAATACCATGAAATTATCTTCTGTAATAACTCCAGGAACTTTAGCAGTATGTAATTTTTTGTAATTTGGTAAATCTTGTTTCAAATCGTTGCTTGGTGATGGAGTTTGTGATGATGAAATTTTAGGATCATCATTGTTCCAATCATTGATCTCATCATAATTTTTTCCCGGTGATGACTGTACTCGTCTAGAATCAAGGTTAATGTCCTTTTTCATTAGAATATTGTTTAATTCATTGTTAGCATCCATAGAGTTTAGGTCATCAACGAACATATGCGGGTGTTCACTCGTATTGCGATGATTACATGATTTTATCGGACTATATAAAAAATTTAGAAAGTAAATTAATATTGCTAGAAGAAAGCCATATAAAAAAAATTCAATTAATAACTTTTGATGATACGGTACTCTACCTTTCGTCATCTGCCTCTTGCCCGCTGCTGATATCTTCCTCACTTGTTTCACTTAATACAATATTGCTTCCACCTAAAATCAAATTCGTTGCTCTTTCATAAACCGGAACATTCCATCTCTCTTGAATGACGTCAATATTATCAACGTCTCCAATTGAACGATCGAGCCCCAATGATTGACTTGGACGTGATGATGTTTGTTTATCATCATCATCGTCTATCATTACGCTCCTACTAAAGTCGGTACAGAATAAACCGCCTTCATAGTAGATAACTGGACCATCATGTTGATCGATTACGCTACTAGATTCATCTGAAGAAGGGGACGAACTAAGATTACGATGAAGAAATACGGGACGATAATGGGTTATTGAAGATGTTACAGATGGTGATTCAGTTTGTTGATTGTTAGGTTTTGAGCCGTTAGATGAAGTTAAAGAGGATGGCGTAATACTCATTGGGTCAGAAAAATTTTGGATTGGTTTAGCAGACGGAATCGATGGTGAAGAATCACTTTGTTTATCACCAATACTTCCCATTATATCAACATCTTTGTTTTCTATGGTATCAGGTTTAACATGTTCCAACCCTGTACGCCATCGAACTTTTGTACCGTCCTCATTTAATTCTAGACAATTTGAAAATTTTCGAATAGCTTGTTTAATGAATGGCAAAGTAACGCTCATTGTATGTAATTGTGCCATATTCGTCAAAAGATTTAAATAAACGTATCCTTCGGGATCTGCATCTTCTTGATCTTTTAGATAATGATCATCTGTTGATGGTTGGACGGTAAATACATTCTCAATAGCTCTAACGACTTGTTTCATCTTTAATTTATCATTTGCTTTAACGGGAGTTAAGTGTTCTGTTTTGGAATTATTTTCGATTATTGGGCTTTGAGTCAAATTTGTAGAACTTGACGTGGGCGTTGGTAACTAAAAGGGTAAAAAGTAAATGAAAAGATCAATTATGATCGTTTGCAAGACTGTTTTAAATTTTCTTTCACGCTCATAATATCTACCTGAGCGGCGAATTGTCTAAGATATTCTTCCAATTCGTGTCGCTTCTCTCTAAAAGTTTAATTTGTGTCAGCGAATTTTGATTGATATAGAATATATAGTAAGTTAAAATGTTTATATACCTGGGCATTTGATAGTATCGCACTTCAAATAATTTTTCTTTATGTAATGTTTTTGCGTGACTACCTTCCATTTTTCGAAGTTTTTGACGCAATTTTTGATCTTTACAAAAGAGATGACGTGAATAAAAGTGATCAGAACCTTAATTAATTGACACAAAAGATTATCAACTTACTTTTCAAAGTTAAATCGTCGATAACTGAACGATAAGAATCGCTGCCTGAAGATCTGTCACGTTTTTTAAAGTTACCATGATGTGGCGACTTTGAAAAGTTACGACTTGATGGCATACGATGTCCATGGGCGTAGTGTCCAGCACGTTGATGATGTCTTGATGTTATAGATGACTGTTGATTTAACACAGGTTTAGGATGAGATTTGTAAGAATTTACGTAATAAGGGGTTTCGCTATCTAAAATTCAAAATTTCGCCATTTGCCAAAATTTTACAAAACTTTAATATATTGTTTACACTTTTTGTTATTTAATGACTCGTTTTGATATATAAGAACTCTTCTGTTTTATTTCATTCATCTGATTCAATTTGACACGTAAACTTACCGTCATCAATATTATTCAATTCTCTAGTATTTTGATTAAATTCTTTAAACCATAATTCTGTAGTAGACATCGAACTTGAACTTTTCTTTGAACATGTTCTGTTACTACTACCGTTCCTTCTTTCTCTGCTCGTTTCGTCCATTTCTCTTTCAATACTTGAGGACTCTCTTGGGCTATCAGCACTACTTGATTTGTCCGAAAGAAGAGAGTTCATTTCAGATTCTTCGTCGCTTTTTGTCTGCAAATTATTTTTATGTTGGGGTATATTCCAAGTCATGGACATTGTGGTTTGTCTTCGAGAATCATTATCACAAGCCTTTGTCGCCTTAAGAGAAGTCATGGAAGTCATAATATTATTAATTTGCTAACTTTACAAGTATAAATCTTTATTTCTTTTTTTAACTTTTTTTTTTTTTTTTAGAAAAATACTTTTTTTTATTAAATAAAATAATTTTTAAATTGTAAAGAATATTATTCTTGTAAAATGGTTTGTTTGGGTAACGAAAGTAAAGGTCAGTAATACTCGTACAGAAAGAGAAATTAATCGGTTACAGAACAACATATATTTTATAAAAATATCCAAGAAAATGATTTGGCGCAAAATTTAGCATTTTTAAAACGAAACTTTGTGATTTAGAGATATGGGTAATTAAAAGAATGTTAAAAGGAGATATTAAAGCATGGAAAATTTTTTCTTTTTAAGGGATTTTAACAAAAAAAAAAAATGAGAAATTTTTTTTTTTGATTTTTTTACGAGGAAGAAACCTATGTAACTTAAACCGAAAAAAAGATAGCTGTTAAAAAAACTTGATTTTAAAAAATGCAGAATTTTAAACGATTGTCGATCTGAGCAAAATTGGTTTTTATTTTTTTCGATTTTTCTCGATTTCCAATACTGATTATCGATCCACATTACGTTTTAATGATGTCATTATTATACTGCATTGATGTTTAACTTAATATAGGAAGAAAGTGAAAATGCATATCACAAACAAATACTGAGTGTTACCTTAATATTTTCCCGACATATTTAATTATATATTTAATTAATGATAAAAATATGATATAATTTAGTTGCGCAATAGTCGTCATATATTATACCTGCCTAAGAAACGTGAACACGGGATTTGGAATATCATAGAATTTTCTTAAATTGCGATTAGATCGATTTATATTTATTAAAACGTCGTTTTTGCAAATACCCAATCAGAAAAAAAATAATTTTTTTTCCGTTATCATGTCTTGAGAGTTGTCTACGAATCTGATGATATACATCTATTATATTTGAGAAAAAAAAATTACTAGTAATTTTATATAATAATAAAATCTTTTTTAACATTGATATTTAACTGAAATATATATTTTTAAAAAATATTTTGTAATCTATAAAATCTTTATCACTAGATTTTATTAATATGATATAGCATAAGATTTAGATATAGTAGTATAAATAAAAAAATTTGAATTAATCATCTTATTTTTATAAATTGCACTTACAAATTCTAAAATAAAAATTATGCTAAAAAAATTATATTAAATTTATAATTATTAAATCTTAACTTACTTTATTTTTATTTTAAATATAATTAGCTACTTATTTTAATCTCTTTTTGTAAAATATAGGTTTAAATTGATTATTATTAAAAATAAGTAATAGTTTATTATTAATTATTTAGATTAAAACTATTATATACTTATAAAAAATTATTATTTATTTAATATTATTTAATATTTATTTTTAAAAATAATATATAAACTATGAGATCATTAATTTATCCT